GACGGAACATGAAGGGCTGAACCATCAGATGAGCAAATTTGAAGGCAGCTGTGGCAAAAACGTTGGAGATGCTCGGATCTATAGAGTCATTATAACCAGGGTAGGTGGAACAATGGCTGGAAATGGCCTCGGGACCAACAATGTGGAGAAGCCAGTCCCTATAAGTGATAACCTTTAATAGAAAAGAAGAATAGAATTAACTTTATAGTGATAACAATTGCTGGTCTTAAACAATGCCGAAATTCCAATTATAGCCGATTTTTAGTTATCTGAACTGTTTAGAAGCTATTTTGTCATGCTGGAGAATGTTGAGTTGAGATCTGTCTTAACTTATCTACATGTTTACACATAACTGTGGCCCTACGTCTGTCATATGAAATTTAGTTTCACAGATCTCGGCTCCTCCTACTGTCTCTTACCTGCATGTACCCTCCCATAATCTTGCGTGCTTCCTGGTAGAGCCTTTCTCCGCCCCACTGTGGGTTGAGTTGATGGAGGGCACGGGCCAGACGGTTATGCTCTCTCATCATGAGAGTGTGCAAAGAGGCCAGTGCGATGTTTTCATTGGAACGGTCATCGCCTTTAAGGTCAAATTGAACCAAATTACTTCCAAACCAAACAAAAAATGTTCAGTTATTGAGGCATGCTTTGTCCTTACCGATTTTTAAAAATCTATAATTTTTTAAGAGACTTACCAGCAAGAAAGCACAACACCTCCTCCGCACTGTCATTATTGGTCATTTTTCGCCGTGTGGCACACATGTTGGCCATCATGGTTGTGAAGGGCAGGAGTTCATGGTCGTTGTCTCTATGGTCTTCATTGACCCTCAACAGACCCTCATCTGTACTCAAGTCCCGGAGAAGTTCAGCTTTCCTGTCATCAGAACCATAGACCTGACCCACATCGATGAAGGCTGTCATGGTATTGAGTTGTTGGCGATGAGAGGGTGTACTGAAGAGGAATCCTGTGGTACCAGAACCACAAGCTGGTGAGGAGCGGTAGAATGGCATACACTCCTCAGAGTGTCCGCGAGGGTCATCACTGGGAAACTGTTCAGATAAAAGGATACTGTTGTGATTTAATGCTTTAAATGTATTTTAAGGTTTTGTTAATGACAACCTACGGATCCAACACCGATTACACGTATTTCCCATCCATAGCTGTATATAATCTGTGAATATTTTATCTGCAGTTATCTGTCATTATTTATCCTGTATTTTAACCCCACAATTAACTAATTGTACATGAAAGTCAGGATTTGGATTATATATATATATATATAATCCAAATCCTGACTTTCCTGTACAATTTGTGTATAGCTTCCATATTTGTTTCTTTTATAGCCTCTTACAATTACTCTCTTTTTGTATATGCCATTTATAATCCATATATATATATACATAGTGTCTGTACACGTATAAATAAATATTTATATCCTTTATAGCACTTCTGGATAGATGCAAACTACATTTTGTTGCATTGTGCTTGTGACAGTGTAATGACAATAAAGTTGAAATCTATTCTATTCCAAAATAAAAAAATAAAAAATCCATGAACACTGACCTGTATGGGAAAGCATGGCTCTATGTTGGCACAGCTGTGTTCACAATCAATGCTGTCATTAAATGATCTGATGGAAGGAGATTGAGGGGTGAAGGAGAGGTCGTGGTCAGTCCATTGGCCAAAGATTGTGACCAGGTGGGTGTAAAGGGGGTCACTGTCCACTTCAGAGTTAGCTGTTGCCAGGATACGGTTGGACACTTCTCTCACCTTGGGACAAGACAAATACAAAGGAGATGGGTTTGAGTATCTTAAGTCTCCTGATAATTTGTAGATATTTTTTTAAGTGAAAGTTACTTTAAAGTGGTTACCAAGGGAAGCATGTGGTTATTAACTGCCAGGGAGCGGGTCCACCCTTTCGGGACACTGATATCATCTTCATACTCCGCTGCCAACCAGCGGAGGAACGGGACGTTGGAGGCACCCCAACGAGGGTTTTTACTATAAGGGAGAGCAATAAAACCTGAGTTGGATACTTTTTTAAATGGCGCCAACATATCACAGAAATATAAACCTTAACACCACCTTCCCAAACTATATTAAATTGCAGTACTGCAGTAGCTCTTGCTGCTTTGATTTCTATGTGACAGGTAGTTCTGGCTATCAGCAGCGTGAAGTTAAAATACTATAATACTGTAAATAGTTTCCTTACAGGTTGTTGCAGATGCTGTTTGCTGTGCGATAAATGTTCAGGTTGGGAAGACCAGTGCAGTGAACATTCCTGACTTGAGCAGAGCAGCCTGACAATCTGGCAATCACTTCCAGGTCCCCCTCAGAGATCAGTTCTTGATAAAAGAATAAGTAAAACTGATGTTAGCTTTCACTTTCAGTCATGCCAGCTTGCCCTAGAGAAAAATATAAACACCAACCTGTGGCTTCAATGGAACGTTTGTGACGTTTTGACAGACTCCTCTTGATCAAATGCAGAGTGTTGTCCATGTAGTCTGCAGCTCGCACTGCCTCCCTGGATGGTCCATTGGGCTGCATCAGGAGTCTCAGGACATCTGCCGTGCTTGCTGCATTTCTCCTTACTCGATCAATACTCCTGTATTGTATATGGAGTTCAGATATTCAACCACATCTTTTAGAGAGTGTTTGCTTCAAAATTAAGCAGCGAAAGAAAAACAGAGGAATAGGGCTCTATACTCACACTTGGCGGGAGTATGTATAGGCTGCATCCACGTTGGCTTTGGCCTTATTCACACATTTTTCAATGAAAGAGTGACTCAAATGGCGTTCTGAATTAAGCAAAATCAAATTCTTTAGTTTCTAGTTAACAATTAATTGGTTATGTGATATCATTAAATTATAATAAAGTTTACTTTTTACCCAAAGACAACTTCCAAAGTAAAAAATATATATGTGTGTTTATATAAATAAGAGGTGTATGACAAAACATTTGGTAGTTCTCTCTGGAACTTATCAGAAAATTTTATGTTTGTTTGTCTCTAAGGCATCCAAAGAAGAAAGCTACTCACTGGCATCCACTTGGCATTGCAAGCCTAGGGTTAGACCAACAGCCAATAGGCAGAGAAACGTATTCATCCCTAAGGAAATAATAAATGTTCTATATTAGTGAAAAGACATATTCAAAAAGTTAAAACTAAGTGAAAAAAAATATTTTTTCCCATATAATTTCTAAGTAAGATTACCTGTAATGAAGCTCAGCCTTAACTCCAAAGCTGTCTTTCTGATCCACCTAGGACTTCAAGCTGCTGCATTAAGTCACTAAAGCTTAGAGTCAACTCCTTCTTTTTATATTCTGTGGGTGTGTTTTTGTTCTCATTACAAGACAGTCATGTCAGGAATCTTAACTTAAATCTTAACTTGTCTTAAAGTCCATATGTGACTTCTGAGAATGACAAGAACAGCAGAAGCAGTAAAACAAGTTTCGACTACTATTTTGACATGAGCAAAAGAAAAGTAGAACACAAATGACAAACTGCTTAAAGAGTTTAAACCCTGTTAAAGGGACTAAATTTAAAAATTGTCTTTACTGTCCAAAAACCACAAGATGTTTTTTAGAATATGTAATAAAGTCTTTTACTTGTTGTCCATGTCAGATACACATAATTGATCATTCTTCTGGATCCGCTAAAACCACTGCTGAACTTGGCATTTCGGCAGTGTTCCAGTTCCTCCTGCAGCAACCAATGTAAAATCAGTCTAGATCAGAAGGAAGTTAGAGATTACTTGCCACACCTACAGTGGGTCCTGGTTGGAAATGGACACTTCACTCACGCTCTCCGTGTTTCACGAATTGCACGAAAAACATGTGACTACTATAGCCACTAGGTGGCAGTCTGAGTCCATTTTTGGCATCCCATGAGTCTGATAATAATAGGCGTATTGTTATACTATTTTTGTTATTTTTATTATTATTATAATGATTATCATTATTATTATTATTATTATTATTATTATTATTATTATTATCTAGCTGGTAAAATTTTCCGTTTGATCTGGAAAAGGACGCTATGATGCCGAGAGGGGTCTAGCTGCAGCACCGCAGCTGTCAGACCAGTTCTGGTGAAGGCGCCTGTCTCAGGCCACCTCCACCGTAGGGCCGGAAATAAACAAATTTAGCCTCGCCCACCTCCCCCCAAATGACATCAACTGTTAGACGAAGATGAAGGTTGTTGAACACGCGAGACTCCGGACCAATGGTAAGTTAATTTCTTATTTTTACCGCGAAGCAAAAGATGTCTGGCTTTCATATGCTTGTCAGCAATGTATCGTTGTAGCGTTATATGTAAAGCACGTGCGGTTACTGAATGTTACAGTGTGTTGAAATACTGTACAGGTTTAATTGTTTGGAGCTGGTAAACAAACGCACGAGGTCACGAACGAGTATGCCTGGCTTCATAAAACCGTTAAACTTATCGTAGTTAGCGTAGTTTTTGTTATTTCTTATTTGCATTGCTTTAGATTCAACACAGAGTCAGGTCGATGCTCTACTCGTTTCAGTTTATTTTAGATAAACAGACTGCGGTTTGGCAGCCAGACTTTTCTCGACTGCTCAGCATGCATCAAGTTGCAGGCCTGGGCCGAACAAATTCTTACAGTTTAGCATTGTGTGAAGATTAGCTGTTGTCAACTGATACGTTTGATAAATGCGATTTTATATGTGAGCACTAATAGTTCTGTTGTCTTTTATAGATGCATCTGTCCATTTTATCGAGTGATACACCTATAATGAAAAGATGCACAACCTGCTGCAAATTGTACCACTGTCTGCTGTGCCCTAAGTTTAAGCCTACCACACCATCCAAGCTCCAGCGGCACCTTGATGTACATGTAAAAAATGCAATCCCCTTTCAAGGTTATTATTTTCATACAGAAATTCCAATTGTGTGTGCCTGTGTTTTCTTGTCAGGTAATTTATTTTTGTTTTCTTTTTCT